ATATTAATGAGTTTTTTGGGTTCATTGAGAACATGGTTGTTGTTCAATAATAAAATTATTCCTCAAAAATACAACTTGCCTAATAATTCTGCACTCCCTTTATGGTTTAAGGAGGGCCTATAGAGAGTGTGATCTCCACTCAAGGCTCCAAAGTTAGGTAATTGGGACAAGGCTGGGAGGTTGGAGCAGTGAAGACTTCTTGGCAATTATTCCTGCAGAAGCAGATCAATTACCAAAAGCCTTACATGAGGGTCATCCACATAGAAGCAGGATAAATTCAGCAGTCTAGTCCCTTATTTTCCACAGTGTTAATGGTACTTTTTCACAGGTCCATACTGGTCATGGCAGTCTGTCAAGAATCGCACCTTTTGTGGAACAGGACTGACCCAAAGTGCAGGGTGCAGAGGACGTACGCACTAAGAGCCAGCAATTCACTCACTGATAGAAGTCAGTAAGAAATTAAATATCAAACAGAATAAAAAAAACACAAAAAAGACTGAAAGGGAGGACAGGACTAACCAGCGTAGAGGAATCAAGGGCGAGGGAAATGAGACAAAGTTGTAGAAAATAAAGACAGTGAGATTTTATTCTAAGAACTGGCAACAGGAACCACAAGCAACATGAGGAAAATGATTCAGTTCACCAGCAGCTGGTGAAATTTGGGTGATTGTACAACCAAAGCCGACTGTAGCAGAGCAGTATTTGGGAAACTAGGTAGAAGTGAAGAGAGAACAGTGCAGTAACAGAGCACTGTTTTTTTCCATGTGGTTTTAGTATGAATAAGATGTGTGATTTTTTTTTCTTTTTTTGTATTTGTTTTTGAAGAGTTGATGTTTAGCACTTATGTATTCCAAAGCGTTAATGGTACCTTTTTATAGGTCCATACTGGCAGTCTGTCACAATCTGTCAAGAATCGCACAGTTTGTGGAACAGGACTGACCCAAAGTGCAGGATGCAGAGGACATGTGGACTAAAAAAAAGCAAGCAATTCTTTGACTGATAGAAGTCAGTAAGATATTAAATATCCAACTGAATACAAATACACCACAAAGACTGAAAGGGAGGACAGCACTAACCAGCATAAAGGAATCAAGGGTGAAGGAAAATGAGACAAAGTTGTAGAAAATAAAGACTTTTTTCTTAGAACTGGCAACAGGAACTACAAGCAACATGAGGAAAATGATTCAGTTCACCAACAGCTGGTGAAATTTGGGTGATTGTACAAGTAAGGGTGAATGTAGCAGAGCAGTATTTTGGAAATGAGGTAGAAATGAAGAGAGAACAGTGCAGTAACAGAACACTGTTTTTTCCCATGTGGTTTTGGTATGAACAAAATGTTTTTGAAGAGTTTATGTTTAGCACTTGTGTATTCACTACAGGGTGGGTCTGCACATTACTTTAATAACAACTGCACCTAGTTTTTTTTGTCAGAATTGCTGACAATCGTTGCTGCTACATATGCATTAACAGTTGGATTGAGTACTGATGATAATGTAAATGTTTCATATATTTTTCAAACCCCTGCACCATTACAGTTCTTTCAAACTGTGCACACCTGCTTTATGTTAACTAAAATAAAAATTTACTAAATAAAGGCATCAGCACATATTTACTTACAGAGATTTATTAGAGGCATTGACCTCTGGCAGCAGCTCCAGAAGAGCCTTCTCTGAAGAAAATGTCTTTGGGTCTACATCTTTTTTTGATGAGACGAAGATTAAGACCAGAGCTGACCACTGAGCAGGGGAATAATTACGTATGGAGAAACGTCCTAAACTCATGTACCGCTGGACCTCCTCCACTAGAGAACGATCATTCACTTCATTCAGACAGTGAAACAGATTGATGCTTTTCTCTCCTGACAGATTCTCACTGAGCTTCTTCTTGATGTACTGGACAGTTTCCTGATTGTTCAGTGAACTACCTTCTGTACGTGTCTGCAAACCTTGTAGGAGAGTCTGACTGGTCTGCATTGAAAGACCCAGGAGGAAGCGGAGGAACAAGTCCAGGTGTCCGTTTGGACTCTGTAAGGCCTTGTCAACAGCACTCTGGTAGAAGTGAGACGCTGAAGATTCTGTTGTTTCTGACTTCTGGGAGGTGGTTTGTTGCTCTTCCAGCAGATTGACTCCGGAGTTGATGAAGGTCAGATGGACATAAAGAGCAGCCAGAAACTCCTGAACACTCAAATGAATAAAGGAGAACACCTTGTCCTGGTACAGTCCTCTCTCCTCTTTAAAGATCTGTGTGAACACTCCTGCGAACACTATGGCTGCTCTGATATCGATGCCGCACTCTTTCAGGTCTGATTCATAGAAGATCAGGTTTCCTTTCTGCAGATGATCAAAAGCCAGTTTTCCCAGTGACTCAATCATCATCCTGCTCTCTGGAATCCAGTGTGAATCTATCTGACTCCCTCCATCAAATCTGACCTTCTTCACTTTGGCCTGAACCACCAGAAAGTGGATGTACATCTCAGTCAGGTTCTTGGGTAGCCGCCCTCCCTCTCTGGTTTTCAGCACATTCTCCAAAACTGTAGCAGTGATCCAGCAGAAGACTGGGATGTGACACATGATGTGGAGGCTTTGTGAGGTCTTGACATGAGAAAGGATTCTTCTGGCCTGCTCCTCATCTCTGAATCTCTTCCTGAAATACTCTTCGTTCTGTGAGTCAGTGAACCCTCTCACCTCTGTCACCCTGTGAACACAGTCAGGTGGGATCTGATTGGCTGCTGCAGGTCGTGTGGTTATCCAGAGGTGAGCAGAGGGAAGCAGTTTCCCCCTGATGAGGTTTATCAGCAGCACGTCCACGGATGTGGGCTCTCTAGTGTCAGTTAATATTGTAGTTTTGTGGAAGTCCAGAGGAAGTCGACACTCATCCAGACCATCAAAGATGAACACAACCTGGAAGTCTTCAAAGCTGCAGATTCCTGCTTCTTTGGTTTCAGTAAAGAAGTAATGAACAAGTTCCACCAAGCTGAACTTTTCCTCTTTCAGCACATTCAGCTCTCTGAAAGTGAATGGAAACATGA